TTTACAGAAATATTTTACAAACATTTTTCAACGCATTTCCATCAGAAAATTTAATTCGTTGTAGAGAACTTCTATTAGATATATGAAAATAAATTAACGTCAATGTGTAATAGAATTTTTATGACGCACAGTGTGTAAAAAAAAACACCTCTGTCTACATTTTCGATACAAAAGACGGAAAGCAAGAAAATCAGCGCGCGTCTATGGCGCCACGAGAACGAATGCTAGGGGCCAGATAAATCCTCGAGAACCCTCCACGTGATCTCCGTCGCGTCGCTGCGAATTCCCGAGTGGACTCGGGCGAAGACAGGTTCCTACCTAAACTGGAACGGCGCATTGTCTCAGGTATATATAGTCGGGTGTCGTGTGGACGCTGCTATTTTCCACCCCTGAAACCAGAAATAAAAGGGTCTCTGTAATCTCGCGTTCTAGCGTTCGACCTTCAGCGGCCCTGCCAAACCGAGGCCGCCCGCTGCGCGAGACCTATCCTAATCCGAGTTGCGAACAAAAAGAGTTGGCGCTACCATAATGAGAAGCTCGGTAATGCGAGATTATTGTTGTCGAGAGCACATTGCTCTCGAACACTGGCCGATCGCGTTAAGCTTTTGTAAACAGAGATGCCTTCGACAGATGCTCCACTTCGTTTTTTCTTCGAGTCTCTCTCACCCGTAGAGAGGTGACAAGTGGAAATTACATCCTTACAAAACATACACGTCTTAATCCAGTTAGATTCGAGCGGGATTTTTTTTTCACGTTTCGCGATTTTTAAAAAAGCAGAGCGCGATGTTTTCTTGGCGTCGACCGACGTTCCGTGTGTCGCGGGATTAATGCACATCGCGTGTACCCGCGTATACGCGTATACGCGATGTGTATTAATGTATAATTATTATTCAATATATGTATCAGGAATTATATCGGCGTATCGGGGGAAGGGATGTGTGTACGGAGGGAACCGGTAATTTACGACGTACGCAGAATTTACGAGCGTCTGTCATGGAAATAGGCAGGCCGTCGATTTAATTAACGTAATCATACAATTATGCTGAGTCCAGTTTACCTTATAATATATTTTAACTGTCTTTAATTACGAACCGCGGAGAGAGAGAGAGAGTTTACTTCCTGCAAAACAGAGTCTCTCTTTTTCTCTCACTCTCTCTCGCGGCATACGGAAGCGAGTCGCGTTATTTGTCCGTTATTTAACGCTCTTCTCTTTGTTTTGTCACTTCTTCTTTCATTTCTCGAAGCACGCATCGAAAAACGTTGTGTTGTTAATCCAATCTAAATGCGATCAAAACGGGCGACATCGATGACTCTTGCGGCAGGGCAATCGCCATCAAAAGGGTGGCCTCAGGTGTCTCGCACCTGATGCACCTGCACGCGACAGGTATCACTGCGCGACTGTCAATATGCGCGAACGTCTATGCTCGATATCGCCACCTGCAAGAACCGGTATCGGTACGATGCCGATGTCGATATTATTCGTATCGAGTGTACAGCAGCGAATCGAAAAACTTGCGAGACACTGGTTCTCTTTTTTATCAACGTTAACGCAATCACGTTTTAAAAGATTGAAAAGCGAGAATTTAACTTTGTGTTTAAGCTTCTTCGAGGGGAAGAGGGAGAGGAGGGGGACGAGAGGAGAAGAATACGCGCGCATCGTTAAGACGTCAGTAAACGCGCGCGAGTTGTGCGAAGCGTGATAAGCGTGGAAGAAAACGAAAGAGAGGGAGACGAGAGGTGCATCGAGGGTGCATCTGCGGTACGAATCTGCTGGTTTACGAACCGCCGCGCGCGTCTATATAATTATTCGTGATGCAGGATACACATATCTTTATAAGGAAGGGTTCGCGTATAAACCGCGCGCAGTATCCGCCGCAGTATCTTTATAGCTTATTGCAACGCTTTAGGCAACTTCGTGATCAACGTGAGGAATACGGAGGAGAGGAGGAGAGAGAGAGAGAGAGTACCGCGACCGTACGTACATGCTCAAAGCGTTTCGCTGTTCTATCAGATTCCGCTCGTGGTACATAATTGTTTTAACATATTACCGCGTATGAAAACAAAAACCGCGAGTTCAAAGACGCAAAAAAATTATTTAATTAATTTAAATTCAAATCTTTAATTAATTTTAAAATATTTTATTAAAGAGATATGTTTGTTGTACGAAGTGTAATAACAGTTTAATTGTTATTGCACGGAGTGATAACACAATGTAAATAAATTTGGTTAAAGACTCGAGACAAAATTAATTTGTTGGATTTATACAGAAACACACACACACACACAACGGCGATAAAGCGGATTTAAGGTTTGTGCGATTTTTCAATCTTTAAGAAAGCTTAAAAAGTTCACGAGGCCACAAGAAGCATATTGAAATGTACAAAGTTAAGCTCTCTAGACAGACGTCTGTCCTCTCGACACGGTGTATTGTGTTGCGAGAAAGAATCATTCGCAGAACACGACACGCGGACTCCCGCATACGTGGACGGTCCATATGTGTCTCTCTGGTTCACCTTACGGAGATAAAGGGGGACAGGAACTCAGATGGAGAGATAAACAGATTGAGCGCGGGCCGGGAGGCAGCGAGAGAGGGAGAGAAAGAGAGCGACCGGGAGAGAGAGAGAGAGAGTGTGTGTACTGGTTCAAGGGACCAACAATGCCCTCATTCAGGCTTCGTACACACGGGCGCATTATTGAATTCAGCCGCCTTCAGACAGGCAGAGTGAGAGAGAGAGAGAGAGAGAGAGAGAGAGAGAGAGAAGAGAGAGAGAGAGAGA